CCCCCCCCAAGGATGGGGGGGCTGGGGGGGGAGGGGAAGGCTCGCGTGGGGTAGTCACACGTGAGTCCACGGCAGTAGAAAGTTTACATTGTGTCCCTGGTGGTCTAGTGGTTAGGATTCGGCGCTCTCACCGCCGCGGCCCGGGTTCGATTCCCGGTCAGGGAAACTTAGTTGGTTTTTTTTCCCCTCAGTAAAATTAATTTCCTGTTTTCTCACCTCTGACGATACCAATAATAGGCTTTTCGTCGGCAAATTCATCCCACGAAGGATACACAGCGAATGCCACCGTTATAAAAGAAAAAAAACTGGTTGGCACCCTTGCTGCACAGCACACGGCCGGGCTGAGCTTGTTTCTTTTCAAGAATCACTGCCTTAAATGGCTTAGATAACCTCTTAACGAGGGGTGGGCTTAGCAGAAATGGGCTATCACCATCACTACCCTAGGGTAATTTAAACTGGTGGGACTTTTTCCCGGCTCGCAGCAATTCCCATCGTCTCAGATGATTTAAATACCTCTATTCGAGTACGCGTCGCCATTTTCTTGTGGCGAGGAGGGCGTGAAAGCCCGTGGTTCTCTAAGCTGAAAACCACCCACAAGATTCTCACTCACACAGCCCCAAGCCGCAGCTCAACCCCTCACCGTCCTTTCCTGACGAAGAAACCCCCGACACCACCAAAAGCTGCTGCATTTGGGCTTTATTGGCACATGGTGGGGATTATTTTATTTGAGAAACTCCGTGCTCCACCTGGTGCGTTGCTGGGGTCTTCTCAAGCTGGCGGCTGCGCTGGTCTTTTCAGCAGTTGGGGTGGTTGGGTGGTTTAATTCCTCTCCCCTTGGGCTTTAGGTCTTGTTTGCCACCCATCTGAACCTCAAGGGGAGGAGGATGTCTTCTCTAGTGCTTGTTCCTCGAGCCCACGGGGAGCAGGCGCCTCCACCTCTTCTTCGGCACCAAGCGCTGCAAGGCAGCTCGCACGTGCACGGGGCCGATGAGGCGATGGCGGCTCACCCTCCGCAGCCTCTCAGCTTTGCTCGATACCTCCTTGTAGATGTCCATCAGGAAGCAGACCATGAGCCCCTTTGCCTGGTGGGAGAGGAACCGGCCGTCTCCCTTGGTCCGGTTGAGCGTCTTGGTGTTGGTGGAGTGGAAGGAGCATTTGGAAGCCCTTTTCCTCTGCTTCTTTACAGGTTGACGCTTCGCCTGCACCTGAAGCTTCCTCTTCTTGACCAGAGATCTCCTGCTACAGCTCTCCTGTCTCCTTCCATGCTGCTGTCTCCTTCCATTCCAGGATCTGCTTCGCTGCTTGGTCCTGCTCTTTCTTCCCCTAGCAGATGCCATGGCTCAGCCTTGTCCCCATGCTGCCTGGACCTCTAAATCCTAGAAACACCCCCAACCCTCCCCATTTTATACAAGTGAGTATGCAAATGAGGGGCAGCTCTGAGCCCATTGGCCAAGAGAACAATGCCCCCCCTAATTCACAATGGATAGAATCCTGGCTAGTGCTGGGTGCCAAGGTCCCTCTTGGCCAAGGCACACAGAGTGGTTGGTGCCTGTAAGGTCTGAAGACCTTTGTGGCCGCTCACCCCTCCATGATGCTCGCCTTCCCCATGGAAATCTTCCAGCCAACCTAAAAACCAGCATTTATTTCTCAAAGTATCGCCCCAATCTCAGAAGCTTTGTCTCATGGTTGCACAACCAAGCCAAGCGTGTGCAACATGCCCTGGGAGTCTTCTGGGCAAAAAGGAAAGGAGTGACAAGAAAATCCTTTGAAAGGGCATCTTTCCTCAACAGAAACTCCCTGCACACCTCAGACCTGTGTCTGTCAGCTCGAATACTCATGATGGCTAATTGGTTAATAAATCCACCCAGGTACAACCCAGGATTTTCCCTTGCCGTGCTTTATATGCATAGCTCATTTTCATATCTGCATGTGAATGCTCACACCTACATGCACCTCCCATGTTGCTTCCAAGTTCCTCCATGCACTATCAAAACCACGGTTGATGTCCCACACCAACATCTACCTGCTCCGAGTCTGGAAGACCAAACCTTGACTTTTTTTCCTCCCCGCTTCATTAAGAAAAACCAACATTAAAACCAGAAGACAATTTGGAAGCAAATCATTGTCCCTGCTTCCATCCCGCACTAGCTGATTCCATTTTGGTTTCATCCCTCCCACTGACCTTCTCCAAGCCTCGTGTTGTAACTGGCATCAGGTGGAAACCCAGTTTCCAGTAATCTTCAGGGAAGTGGCAGAGAGGAACAGGAACAGGGGAGGAACTCCTTTTGCAATCGGTGGCATGCATTGCTTCTACTCAGACAATACACCTTGTAATTTGAAGTCGATCCTAGAACAACATGTTAGGACATGCGTTAATTTAGCTTTTGTCAAAACAAGATGAAAAACTGCCCTCCCTCCAAAATATCTAGCTGTCCTGGGAACACGCGTACGTACCGGTTTCATCATATAATCCCCTCAGTCCCCAAGAAGAATCATTGCTTTATGTGAAGAGAGAATACTTGTTGAAGGGTTTTCAGCCCAGACACCCACAAGTATCAGGAGAACCACCCAGTAATCGCAAGCCAGTAAAAAAAAAAAAAAGACAGACACAAGCCAAGAGTTCTTTCAGAAAAATAATGCCGTCGCCTTTTCCAGTTGTTAAACCCGAATCGAACTTGTGGGTTCTCTTAAATGGAGATGTGCTCTGGAGCACAAACCTCAAGAAAAACCTGTAATCCTTCATTTTTTTTTTTTTCCTTAGGAGGAAAATTTCCACAGAATTTCATCACGCAATTTTAACAAGGACAAAGGGGAACTTGTGGACGTCACAATGAAAGCTGACGAACTAGATGCAAAGAATCGGTTCCTAATTTTGCCTTGATGCAGGCAGAGAGATGTCCTGGGACTGAAATACATCACCATTTTAGAAGAGACCGACCCTTCTCAACGGCATGGCCGAGGTGACATTAAAAGCACAACGAACTTCCTTGGCCATCCCAGCAGCAACACAGAGTATGGTTTTGAGGAAGACTACATTGCCCCAGGACTGGGCTGCCTCAGGAGCAGAGATAGCAAACGGGACCACAAAACCTGCACCTTGCTGTAGAAACACACCTACACTCCATCAGCAAGCACAGCACTGGGCAAGACCCACATTCTGGCTTCTTCCAAGAGACTCGTTGAACATCAGGTCATTGCACGACAAAACCCCCACGTCTATGTCACAAGTCCACCAGAACCAAGAGATCCCATAAATACAAATATATTCGGTGGTTCCTGCTGGGCAGCAATGATTAAAACCCTGGTCATCAGTGGCTTAAGAAATTTGCAGGCACCAAGTGGTCAGACACTGGAACAGGATGCCCAGGAAGGTGGCTGAATCACCATCCCTGGAGGTGTTTAAAAAATGTGTAGATGTGGCACATCAGGATATGGTTTAGTAGGAATGGTGGGGTTGGGTAGATGGTTGGACTCGATCTTAGAGGTCTTTTCCAACCTGTGATTCTGATTCATTCTACAGAATTACCCAGAGTGAACTTAATTTGTAACTTCCTGAGAGCGTGACTTCATGGAAGGGGTAATATGCACGATGCTTAAGCAATGCTCACAGTCCCGACGTTGCCATGGTTCTGCAATCCACTCTTCCAGGACATTCTTTAAAATAGTTGACTCATGTAGCACCATGGGTGGGCACCACCACCTGATCTTTCCAAAGCCTCACACCCTTTGCCCTG